TGAAAAACAAAGCCCCAGATAAATCAGAGTGAACAGATGCTAAGGCAAAAAGGGATTAACTTGCTCTACATAAAAGAATAGAGGAATGCTATACGTCATGAGGATGAAGGGCCTCCAGAGAGAGTAACATGACACAGAGAAGAGAATAGCCAGAGATGTTTTGACTTTTCTAAAACTCCAAACAAAACCACAAAACCATCCCTGTTGTTATGAGTTTCTCTCCACCTCTGGAACCCTGCCAGCACCCAAAGCCCAGATGAAGTCAGACTAGCTTCCTCGATGGCTAACTGTGCTATTAGTTACATGTTTTCCGTTCCACTCTTCCTCTGTAGGTCCTCCTCAGGGCTATCTAATGCGGGAATTTCCATTTCAATTTCTCTAAGGGCCCAAAATCTTGGTTATGGTTCCTACATGAGAGTTAAAACTCACATACCTAAGTTACTGCCTCTGAGCCTCCACTCACACTTACTGCCATGGTTTTCAGATCTTTCATTTTTGTCCTCTGAGTCGTTTTCTTACCTTTGAGTATTTAAACAAAGTCTACCAGTTTGATTGCATTTTCCAGCAGTTCTGAAGATCTTGTAGTCACAGAGGCTTCAGGTTACCTGGTCTGCCACCTTGTAGAAAGTGGTTGTTCATAAAATGGCCACACGCAAAACTGTCCAGGATCAGCACCTTCTCTGCAGCATAATGCTCACCCACAGCCTCAGACATTTATATAAGGAGGAATTTACTTTCATCTTAGTGATATAAAGAATAAAAGGAGTTACAATAAGCAGCATTTTGCTAATGTGAGGTGTAGAGTGGAAAGAAAATCAAAGGTGAAGGGAGACTTTTCGTCATGATGGCAGTGAAAATGGATTGCCTGAGTCTTTGTCCCTTTTAGCCCAACCAGCTAAGTTACCTCTTTCCTGCTCCATATGACCACCTCTCATCTTGGCTCTCCAGAGATATCAAAGCCATAAGTTAGTTCATACTTCAGAGAATTCTCTCTAACGAGAAAAACAGGAGCCAGGCAACTAGATCACTAGCAAGTTAGTTCTGGCTAAAAACTCTTGGGGTTTTGGTCTAGATAAATAACAGCATTCTGTTCTCTGTAATAAGGGACCATGGGACATTAACTTGGCCCAATTCTAAAATTGGCAAAACAAACAACCCCACCCCATCCCTCCCAAAAAAAGGTAGACCTGTCTAAGGAAACTCTTCTCTTCCTCTCTGAAATCTACAACCACTCACCACTTACTCTAGTCCTGGAGACTTCCCGTTTGGATAAAGAGTCCAATAATACATAAACACAGGTCTAGCCATCATAGGAAAGTCTGGAAACCCTTGGAGGAATGCTTCTAGGCCAATATTTCTAGAAATATCTAGGCACAAGGACACATGGGAATCCCCAATGCAAATTGGATTCAGTGTGAGGAATCCCAAATTCCCCTGTACCAACAGAAATCCTGATTCAAAACCAGCCAACTGGATGTCTCTGTGCTCATTTCCCTTTCCACATCCTGTGTTTCCATTATTCCCTGCCTCGCATACAAGAAGAAATTCCTCAGAAAACATGGAATCTCCTAGAGATCCCCCAAAGCACAAGTGTAGCCATTTGCTTTAAGAACTGATTTTCAGGACCAGCAGTTGGCATAATGGCTATGTCGCTGGACTCCCATGTAGTCAACCATAGTTTGAATTCCAGACCCGGTGACTTAAGCTCACACAGGGCACATGTGCGTGCGTGCTCAAGATCTCGAGAGGAGAATGGAAGAAAAGGGATTGTAGCGTGGCCATCCCCCCGGGGGTCATTTCTTGCTTTCTGTCTCTCTGTCTCTCTCTTGTCTTTCTGATGAGCGCACACACCCTATAGCAAAAACCTCTCAAAAGAAAGAAAGAAAGAAAGAAAGAAAGAAAGAAAGAAAGAAAGAAAGAAAGAAAGAAAGAAAGAGGAAGGGAAGGGAAGGGAAGGGAAGGGAAGGGAAGGGAAGGGAAGGGAAGGGAAGGAAAGAACTGATTTTCTTCCAAGTTTGAATTCCTTCTTTGAAGTGTCCACTAGTTCAAATGTTAAGTGTCCTAAAAGTTGGTAATACATCTTTCATAAATGGTGATTTCATTTTTTTTTAATCTGTAGAACTAAACCACTTGTCCTTTGCTTTGGATTTTTTAAACTATGGTACCTTTAAGATATCTTTTAGTAGAAGATCTTTTTCGAAACTAAGATGAGGTATATTGGTGAAGAATACAACAGCTACACGAGAATCTGTAATGCCATTTTTAAGAGAACAATTTCCAACTTTAGTTAAGACATGTATAAATTCTAGACTCTTATTTCTCATGTTTCCTGAACATCCCTCCTACCATTTTCCAATTTTCAAATGTACCTTGAATAATAAAATGCAGAAAAAGGCTAGTTGGTTTATGGTGAAGGAGTAACAGGATCAACCATGACTCAGATCTGTGCCACAGTCTACTGTAAGTAATACAGAATCCACTACTGAATAGCTCAATTCTTCTATTAATTGTTTAAAAGGGAGATGTGATTAGAATGAAACCTCAGTCAATTAGAAAACTCTCTAGCCCTGTTCCTTGATTTGTACACTGGAGATCTTAAGAATACCTATTGCACAGAGTCTGTGTAAGGTTTAATTGAGGCGATTCATGTCTGGTACTAAGTGCTCAATAACTACCAGCTCTGATTAAAATTACATTTTAGTAGGGACAGCCCCTAATAAAATGCCTGTACAACAACAGTTAGACCATGCGCATCGAAAGCAGAATTTCACACAGTGAACTGTAGTTCATGTCCCAGCCCCAGTGACTTGAAACATGCACTGATAGTGCATCCAAGTATGCCTAAAATCCTGTCAGAATGGGAAAAGTGTGCTATGATAATGCCCACTAGGGGGTTATCTCTCTCTCTCTCTCTCTTTGCCTCTCTCTGGCAAGTGCACATACCCTCTAGCAATTAAACAAAAGAAAGAAAAATATATTTTTTTCATTGTTAGTTACTGAGTGCTTTACAGTGTGCAAACAATTTTTTTTTTTTTTTTTTTTTTTTTTTTGCTATAGGGCATGTGCACTCACCAGTGAGAGAGAGAGAGAAGAGGAAATTCAGGAAGCACTGAACCTCCCTGGAGGGATGGTCTGCAACCCCTGCAATTCCTTCTCCATTCTCCTCTTGGGATTTTGGACACATATGCACATGTGCATCTAACCTATTTTTCAGCCACCCGGTCTGGGACTCCAACCACACAACTGGCCATCCATCTGTCTTAGCGACACATCACTGGTTGGTCTTTGTATTATCTATTATTGCATTTAATGTATTACTTTTAAATTTGTTTCTTTCTTCAGAATGAGCATTTCTGATTAGCACAGACCTCACTAATTCCACATAAAATAATAAATAAAATTAGATGAAAAGTCAGTATCTGAATAAAGAATGTATGTTATATCCAATATAAAGTATTATTTTCAGCAACAGCTTTTAAAATGCCATTTTTATATGTGTCCCTTCCCTCTCTGGTCCTCGTGTCTTGAGTGCACAAAACCTCTTTGAGAGTCCATTGTGGTTGTGTTAGGGAGTTCCAATCATTACCCATGATCCTTTACAGGCACTGCTCTAAGGCTGACACATATTCTGACTAACCATGGATTAGCGACTGCAACACTACCACCTAAAAATAGACCCAGGGGGCCAGCTGGAGGCATGGTGATTAAAGGCATTGGACTCCACAGGGCCAACCATGGTTTGGGACCCGGACCTGGTAGCTTGCTTCCTCTCTCTCCCTCTCTCTCTCTCTCTCTCTCTCTCTCTCATCAAACTGTAAAATAATAATAATAATTAATAAAGTTAAATAACATAATTATTTTTTAAAAAGAGACCCGGTATATACCTCAGCATTCTGAGCCCAAGACATAATTATAGACAAAGCATTTTAATAACTTTCTACTGAACATTTGATCTAAAATCTCATTGTTTAATTGGTTACTTGTTACTATGGACTAAAGTATAAATCTTGAGAAAGAAATGTTTTCTCTTTATTATTTATTTCTTTTAATGATGGGGGAGCAATAAGAACTTAAATGTGCTTTCCTCTCAGCATTGAACAGTGGTGCCCCAAATCTAGATATAACATCCAAACAATTGCACATTATAGAACTGGACAGTAATCTTGCCTAGCTTGCAGTTAGAACATGAGGGTATGATCTAGCTTTCTGACAGAATGGGGAAGATAGACCGAAACTTCCCTTAGTAACTATCTCAGTGCACAACAAATATCTGGGGGGTTTATTATTGTCACTAATGTGATTTTTAATGGTGTCGATGCAGCCAATCTCCTTATACTCTGCCTTTAAAACTTACTCAGAGCAAACCAAACGAAAATTATACTGAAAGACCAACCCTTGTTTTTTATTATGTAATGAAAGAACTGGAGAAAGTCTTTAAAAAGTCTCTAGTCTGCTTTTTAGACATCTTCATACCATGGTGATTTGATAAGTTTGGATGACAACCCTGGATCTAATACAGGGTGGCTCTCTTTTAAAATGACCTATTTGAAACAAAGGTCTGTCTGTTGGTACTGTCAAGAGGGTTTTGAAAAGTGTCATCAATTTCAAACACTTTTATTTAGCCAGGCATTGGAGAGGAATGAAATTGCAAACCCAGGGGCCTTCATCTGAGTCCTGCTTTAAAAATTAGGTAAATATAATCAAGTCAATAAAATTTTCTGATTTTTATACTCTATCACCATAATGAAATTAATACTTACCCTCAAAATGCCCCAAAGAAAGTCCCAAAGGGGGGTGGGGGGACCTAAAATTGTAAAATGCTATCTGCTTCTTGATAAAAAAGATTTTGGATATCTCAAATAATAAAAATGTACAAATTGTCCCTTTTAAGGCAGGCTATTTTGAAAGGAGATCTAGATTACTACAAACTAAAAAAGTATCCTTAAATTTTTACAAGTTTCAAACATAACATCACAGAAGAAAAGGAAAAGAAAACCTACCCCATGTTCCCATCCATTAGAAGAATCGTGTTGTAGATGTGAGAAAATATGAAGAGAAACAGAATTGTGCTGAAAAACATTGTCATCCAGGAGCCATGATCTTCTCGAAACATTTTTAACCGGAGCAACTGACCTGAAATACAAGTATTATCAGAAATCAATATATGCTGTAACTCATAATTCATACATCTTTGTTTTATTTTAATCATCCTTGTTATCTCACTGTGTTCTGAAGTCTTTGCCGTAAGACCACCTCATGGGTAAAACCACCATATAATATATTTTTTGCTCTTTTGCAAACAAATGATTAAAAATGAAGTCCAATACAACCCTCATTTCACATTTCATCGTAGAGCAAACAGTACTAATATGAAAAGCTAGAACACAGAAAGCATTCATTATGCCAGCATGAACAGAGATGAATCAGAGCCATTCTATCTTTTGTTCTTTATTTCACAAATATGACTTTGGTTCATACTGAAATTATGTAAGGCAAACATATGTGTGTGTAATATATATACATACACACATGTCCATCTTTTTTAAAAAAACAATTATTTATTTAATTTATTCATCATTTATTTTAATTTGATCAGAGGGAGAGAGACAAAGACAGAGCAGGAAAGTGAGAAAGTAAGCCACCAGGTCTGGGATTCAAACCGTGGTCAGCCATGTGGGAAGGTCCAGCACTTTAACCACCAGGTCACCTGCTGGTCTCCTGCACACATGTCCATCTTGAAGTGATCTTTCTAGGGGCAGACAGAATCTCTAGTTCACTGGGCATTAGAAAAAATAATATTTTAAAATGAATCCTTATATCTCACTTTTTTAAAATAGCACTTTCAATTTTTTTTTTTTTTTTTGGAGAGATTTTTGCTATAGGGCATGTTCACTCACCAGAAAGATAAAGAGAGACAGAGAGACAGAAAGCGAGAAATCATCCCCCAGGGGAGATGGCCACACCACAGTCCCTTCTCCTCCTTTCTCCTCTCGAGATCTTGGGCACACACGCACACGCGCCCAGTGTGAGTTTAAGCCAATAGGTTCAGGGCTCGAACCACAAATGACGACATGGGAGTCCAGTGACATAGCCAGTACACCATCTGCTGGTTCCAGCACTTTTGATTTTATTTAAAAACTAGGTTAATAGAAACATTACACCCTAGCTAAAAGTTTAGATGGAACAAAAAAGGGAAAATGTAATTTTATCACATCATTTCTTGGTCTATTCAGAGAAGCAAAGGATAAATCTGACAGTCAGGGGGTCGGGGGTGATCATATAACTAGAAGAAGAATGTGGAAAATTTTCTACTGGAACAGATACTCGCATACAACGTATAAGATTACAGAATGTATTGATTGATGAATAATTATGGAAAGCCATGTATTTTCAAACCTGACAGGAATATGAATATAAATGCATTTCATATATAATAATCGTTATTTCTTCAGTTTTATTTTTGTATGTCACTTTCCTTTCTGGAACTTAAAATACTGAGCTGACCATAAAGCTATCTGGAGTAGCTTGGAAGTCGGTGTGGGAAAAACTGCCCAATTCAAATCATGTTAAGATTTGCTCAACTAAATTCCACTAAACTGTCTAGATTTTTCTTTTTACATCACGTGTCATTGCATTTTATTCTCCAAGAGGGGAAGTGAGAAATCAACCCCAAGGGAGATGGCCATGCCACAATCTTCTCCTGCATTCTCTTGGGATTTGGGGCATGCATGCGCACATGCCCAGTGCTTTAAGTCACAGATCTGGGAACTGCAGTTGGCCATGTGGGAGTCCAGCACCTTAATCACCACACTACCTTCTGTCCCCTCATTGCTCATAATTTTGTAAATTTAAATTTATAGGTCATTAAGGAAATGGGAAAGACAAAAGATAGAACAAGTCAAGACACATGTTTAAAGGCTAAGAAAATTCAAATGGAATCAAATGTTGGGTAGGGTTATGAACATTAGGAACATGATATGATGTTTGTGTATGAGAAGCTAGACTCAAGTTAGAAATAATTCAAGACTCTTGACTGAGATGCAATGAGTTGCTACATCAAAAAACTGAGTTTCCCGAGTTGGGACAAAAATGTAGAGCTTAGTGCCAGGCAGTGGCACAGTGGTAAAATGCAACATTCTATGAGGCAATCCAGCATGGAATGGTTCTTGGGTCAAATGCAAAGACCTCCTTGAGGGCACGCATGTGTCCATGACTTGGCGCTAGCTGAGGGTTGGGGGTGGATTACAGTGTTAAGACCTTTCTTTTTCATAGAATAATTTTTTTTAAGAATTATTTTATTATTTAACTTTATTTCTTGACTTTTTTACAATTTGATCAGAGGGACAGAGAGAAGGAGAAAGTGAGAAAGGAAGCCGCCAAGTCCAGGACTTGAACCACAGTCAACCATGTGGGAGTCCAGCACTTTAACCACCAGGTCACCTGCTGGTCTCCTGCACACATGTCCATCTTGAAGTGATCTTTCTAGGGGCAGACAGAATCTCTAGTTCACTGGGCATTAGAAAAAATAATATTTTAAAATGAATCCTTATATCTCACTTTTTTAAAATAGCACTTTCAATTTTTTTTTTTTTTTTGGAGAGATTTTTGCTATAGGGCATGTTCACTCACCAGAAAGATAAAGAGAGACAGAGAGACAGAAAGCGAGAAATCATCCCCCAGGGGAGATGGCCACACCACAGTCCCTTCTCCTCCTTTCTCCTCTCGAGATCTTGGGCACACACGCACACGCGCCCAGTGTGAGTTTAAGCCAATAGGTTCAGGGCTCGAACCACAAATGACGACATGGGAGTCCAGTGACATAGCCAGTACACCATCTGCTGGTTCCAGCACTTTTGATTTTATTTAAAAACTAGGTTAATAGAAACATTACACCCTAGCTAAAAGTTTAGATGGAACAAAAAAGGGAAAATGTAATTTTATCACATCATTTCTTGGTCTATTCAGAGAAGCAAAGGATAAATCTGACAGTCAGGGGGTCGGGGGTGATCATATAACTAGAAGAAGAATGTGGAAAATTTTCTACTGGAACAGATACTCGCATACAACGTATAAGATTACAGAATGTATTGATTGATGAATAATTATGGAAAGCCATGTATTTTCAAACCTGACAGGAATATGAATATAAATGCATTTCATATATAATAATCGTTATTATTGTTATATAACATAATATTATATATTAATAATTATATAACAATATTACAAATAGATCTTAAACACAACGCCTGAGAGTGAAAAACATGAGCAATGACTATCTTTAAGTAAACCGTAAAGAACGCATATTCCTTCATGGAACAAACGCTTCATGTGTGCCTACTGCACGCCAGACGTGGTTGTAGGTGCTGGAGATACAGCTGCCAGCACAGCTGCCAGTGCAGAAAGTCAGTTCTCGTTTGAGTATTTCATGGAAATGTGACCTTATTTTAGACTCCTGGACTTTCTTTGTTCAAGGTCCCTTTGCTGCAAATCTCTTCAGCTTCAAAGAAAGACCTATTTGTTTAATTCAGCAGTTGATATTAAAAACCGCAAAGACTGGCAATTAGAATTTCTTTAAGATTCAAATGTGAATTTCTTTCTTAACATATGCATATGTCAAAGGATGTGCTTTAAAAGTCAAATAATAATGCTGCCGATTTAATTTGCAAATACAACATTGTGTACACTGTGCATGGGCTGAAATAATACAAAGTTAGTAAAAAAAACAGAGAGAGAGAGAAAGGTGACGGCACCATTTATGCTGTCATTGCCAAACTCACTGTCTGGCACTAATTTCAGCCATTAGTGTCATTAGAACCAAATGGTAGGTTAACACAGCTTGAAATTCACTTGAAGAACACAAAGAAAGTGCTGCAATATATGAAGGCCAGAACAGATGGAACCCAAGGGTTGAGTCAAATCACATTACAAAAACTCCCCAACAGCTCCTTCAAGGTTAACCCAGTGAGTGACCAGCTAATGCTAGAAACATGTACAGAAAGCCCACCATTAAGAACAACTTTTCCCCGTAATCTACTCAAACCAAGAGCTCGGCAGTGTCAGGGGGTGTCACACAAAAACAGACTGTCTCTGCCCTGTAGGGTGATCTTACATTCAATCTGTGGGACGGTAGTGGTTTGTAATTGTTGTCCTGGTATTATTATTAATACTAACCCCTTTGTTTTTTATTTTTAAGTTTAGTCATTGCTTTCTTCCCTGAGAGAGAGAGAGAGAGAGACAAAGTCAGACAGAAGGACAGGCCCCTCCACCAGGAGTCTCACACTGCGATCCACTCTAAGTGCCAGCCAGCCTGGATCACGAGTACACCTGCCCAGAGTACTCACCACCTTCCCCATGTCCCAGTTGCATTAACACTGTGCCACCCTCTGGTCCTCGCTTCCTTTCTTTAGTGTACTCATGTGGACAATAAATCATATGCCACCTTTCCTACAGGCACAGAATTCAGAATTTTAAAACACTTAGGAAGAGTTTCAAGAAGTATTGAGCAAACACATTCCACGTAGGTAAAAAGAAGTAAAAAACATCACTAAAAGGGATACATTTCTTTCTTTTTTTTTTTTTTTTTTTTTTTTTGGGGGGGTTTTTTTT